GTCCCAGGGTCCCTGTGCCCAGGCGGCTGGTGCCAGCCCATCAGACGGCTCTGCAGACGGTCTCTTCCTCGGGGCGGGGATCCGTGTGCTGCCTCGCCATGAGGCTGGCAGGGTGGTGGGAGAAACACTCCTGCCTCCAGGCGATCCACACGCTGCCCTGGGCCGCACCCCAGCGCCAGAGCCCATCCCCCCGACCCCCATGTCCCCTCTCTCTTTGCAGGGAAGGTGGTGTATGCAGAGACCACCACGGCGCACGCCACGCTGACGGGCCTACACTATTATCACCAGGACTGGTCCCACGCCGCCGCCTACGTCACTGTGCCGCCCCTGCGGCTGGACACCAACACCTCCACCTACCTCATGAGCCTGCTAGCCAAGTGAGGGCCGCCGGGCACTGCTGGGGGAGGGGCTAATCCTGCAGGTCTGGTGCTGCCTGACCCATGGGTCCTGTCAGAGCCCCAGGCAGGGCACTCTCTGCCCCACTGCCGGGCACTAGGGAGGTCCCAGCCATGGGCGCTGGTCTGTAATCAATGTGCCAGAGCCCTCAGGGTGAGCAGCACCATGGCCACCGGGCCGGTAACCCCTGCTCCCCTCTCTCCCGGCAGCGACACCCTGAATGTCGTGGCTTCCGACCACCGGCCCTTCACCAGCAAGCAGAAAGCCATGGGCAAGGAGGACTTCACCAAGATCCCGCACGGCGTGAGCGGCGTGCAAGACCGCATGAGCGTCATCTGGGAGCGGGGTGTGGTACGTGGCACGGCTGCGGGTCGGGCATGAGGAGCCTAGCACGCGCTGGGCCAGGATCCAGGACTTGGCCACCTCCGGTGCTGTGGGGAGCCGTGCTAGCGGGTGGCACTCTCAGGACCGCCGTGCCCTGCCAGCGGAGACGGACCACTGAGGCACTACAGCCTGGGGCCCGATCCCGACAAGAGCCCATCCTCCCTGTGCACCGGGGTGGAGCACCGCTACTCGCTGCCCCCCAGAGGGGGCTGCATTCCCGTGGGGTGTGACCTGGCTCTCTGGGGCTGTGGTAACATAGGGGGTGGGCGTTCAGTCTGCATCTGGGTCCTGCTCACCCCACGAGGCAGCCCCTGGCTGGTGCTGGATCCCCGGCTTAGCCCTGTGGCATGGGGCTAGGGGGAGCTAGAAGTGACCTGGGGCAATTGCAGCTTCCTCTCCCAGCCGCTGGCGTGATGGGGCAGGACGCACCACTCGGGAGAGGAGAGATGGGGGGACCCTGCCCCCTCTGACAGCAGTGCCCACACCCCTGGGCTGCCCAGCCCTCCCGGAGGGGCCATAGCAGAACACCCCCCGCCGCGCCGTCTCAGCCCCCTGCTGTGTTTGCAGGTCGGGGGGAAGATGGACGAGAACCGCTTTGTAGCCGTGACCAGCTCGAACGCAGCCAAGATCCTCAACCTGTACCCACGGAAGGGCCGCATCATCCCCGGGGCCGACGCAGACATTGTGGTGTGGGACCCTGAAGCCACCAGGTAGGAATGGGGCCAAGGGGGAGGGACAGAGCGTCTTTTCCTGGTGCCGGTTGGTGCCCGACGGGCCCAGGACAGACACTGGTCGGGGGGGGGGGGGGGGCAGCGAGCCGTGTCCCGGTGCCGGTTGGTGCCCGATGGCCCCAGGACAGACGCTGGTTGCGGGTGGGAGCGATCCATGTCCCGGTGCCGGGAGGTGCCCGACGGACCCAGGACA